CTTTCCCCCCCGCCCTTTCCCCCCCCAAAACCCAAAAAAAATAAAAAAAATCGAAATGATGAACAGATATAGATATCCTGCGAACTCTATGGAATTGAAGATCAAATTGTCGAACCCTTTTCTTGTTTTCCCCAATAGGGGGAAAAAAACCTCCTAAAGAAAACAAAAAGAAATAGCTAATCTTCTCTCTATCATTCACATTTTAATGGATGTCCGGAAGGACTAAAACACCCTATTTTTTCAACTCCTTGGTATCACGGATTTCGCGCCCCCTCTTTTTTTTTTTCTTTTTCTTTTTCTTTTTCGTTTTCTTTTCCTTTTCTTTATCTGGTCATTTGACTACTGTTAGTGCTGAGTGGTGGATAGGCCGATGTCATGCGCTTCCGTCGCAATGTGAATTTCTTTTTGAAGTTTTTATCGCAAACAGTTTTCTTTTTTACCATAGCTTGTTTATTTCCTTTGTATTTATGTCGGAAAATGAAAAACGAACGCTCACAATTGCGTGATCAATTGGTAGATAGGAAAATCACCGTATATAATACTGCTAGGGGCTAACGTCCTTAGGGGGAAAAAGTAACTTACTTTGTTCTCTTTTTTTTTCTTTTTTTTTTTAATAAATGTCAATTCTAGTAGTCTTACTTGTGCTTCTGAATCGTTAGTCAAGTTCGTACAACATTAGGCAGTTTACAAGTACTGTATAACAGCCGCTTTTTTTTTTTGTTTTTTTTTGTTTTGTTTTTAGCAGGTCGCACATTTATCGTGAAATCGATAATAAGTAAGAGACGAGTGGTGCCGTCACAGAAAAAATAAAATTTCGACTCCCTTGTGTGTGTGTGTGTGTGTGTGTGTGTGTGTGTGTGTGTGTGTGTGTGTGTGTGTGTGTGTGAATTATTATGGGAAATTAAAGGGAATTTTTTTTTTTTGGACATATAATATCGATCGGTGAGAGAATGTGAAATGATTTTAAATAAATAATGTCCATTGGTGAGAGAATTCGTAATTAAAAGGCAATAATTGAATTATAATTCTGTATAAAAAATGCCGATGGGTGAGAGAATTTCGAGAAATGAAAGTCGACAATCGAGATAATTTGTTTGAAATTATTTCAGATTGGCGCTGGCGGAAGCGTTTCCTTGCTTCTCGGTTGATTAATTGTCAGGGGTGAGGTCCAACTAGCAAAGACGATTGGATGAAGCGCCTGAATCTGGATGTGTTTTATGCAGAGATGCAGAAAATCAGATCCACAGCGTTTTTCTGCACCTCTCCGTAAACACGTCCACATTCAGGCATTAAATCCAATAATCTTTGCCTGTTTGACCTCCCCCAGGGAACACTTTTCACCAATTAGGACTCTGCACGAACTCAAAACTTCAGAAGTCGATTTTGATAATTATTAAAAATCTACATTAGCCCTCAAAATCTCAAACATAAGAAAAAGGAAAAAAAAGAAGAAAAGGGAAAAAAAAAGGAGGTCTTTAGGGAAACTGACAGTGGTTTTCGGTAATTACTAATTACTATAATTAGTCATTACTGCATTAGTTTTGGCATTAGCCGTCAACACAATCACACCTGATTAGATTCTCGTGGGAATTGATCCTTTTTTTTTTATTATTATTATAAAGCGTTCTATTTTTGGCCGCCTTGACAAGGAGAGGGACACAACAAACAAAGTGGAGAAAGGCAGAAATTCCCCCGCCCCTGCCCCCCCCCCCCCCCCCCCCCAAAAAAAAGGGAAAAATGGAGAGTTAATGTGGGGGTTTGTTCACCAGCGAGAAAAGAAAGAAAACAATGGTGGCTTCCTTTTTTCTTTTCTTTGCAGCAGTGGCATTGGACAAGCTTTCTCTTTCAGAG